ATACTCGTTTATTATACGCACAGAAGGCCGTTGAGCTTGACGAGTCCGATTATGCCACACTACACGCACTCGGAATATGGTATATCAAAACCTTGACCACATTTTAGGTGTTACACGGTTGCGAGCGTGGGAAGAATTGAACGTATGATTGCACGAGCATTTTTCAGCACCCCTCCAACATCGAGTTACGAGGAAGTAAGGAAGTAATAATATTTGATGAATTTCCATAGGCTCTTGATTACTTCTTAAAGGCTGAGAAAGGTAATGGAAAGTGAATTATGTCGTATTTTTTTCAGTCAAACCAATGAGATTAGCAAACAACGTCTGCCGGATAGCGCAGTGTTATGCTAAAACTGGTCAAGCTGATAAGGCCAAGGAATATGCTGCGAAGGTGCTTGAATTTACTGAGACAGATGAAGAAACGAAAGAGGTGTGCAATTTTCATGGCTTATCATTATTCTTCTTAAGGCCAAAAAGGAGGCTCAGTACATACTGGCCCACTGAAAACAAACCGTGATATCTGACTTACATTTCCATGACTATTTGAATATCTGACTTCTACCTAATTTGTACAGAAGTAAATCTTTGCATTCCAAATATATCTTTGATTTATTTGGAAAAGCTACCGTTATGTCCCCCTGGTGGAGCGTTAAACGAGAAATAAGTATATCTTTTGCAAACTAGTGGAACATATCTGATGCTGTTCGTACCATACAGTACCCCCAAAAGGCCACACGGGCATCTGGTTCTTTTAAATTTAAATGACTGTATTCCTTCCTTTGTCTCCTACTAATAATGGTTTTAGGAGAACATACTCCCTTACTGCTAGTAGCTATCGTTGGTTTGTAATCTCACTTGCTGTACAAGTGTGTAAGCCATCAGTTCGAATAAGGTGAATGCTACTTGCTTGAATGAAACACATGAAATAAAGCACCAAGCAAAACGAGCCATGCCGCCATATGGAATATTATAATGTACTTTTAGATATCGACGAAATGATCATTCTGCAGTGGTTTTCTAAGTCAACGGAAGCTGTATACACGTTCGGTTTGGCGTGATCCCTTATTTTTTTAACAGGCAACGGACTGTCTGACCAAAACGGGGATCAGAGTGT